ATTTCTACATATATAGCAGGGATGGAGAGAAAAGTAAGTATTTTCCACAGGTGACATTAAAATGAAGCAAGACTGAACTAGTATTGCAAACTCCCCTTGCTGCATGGCCATCCGTCTGTTTAAAAACATAATATATACATTTATGACAACATGTTTGCATATGTATGAGCTAGAAAAAGTCAGAAGCCCCCAGTTCAAAAATTACCTTGGGCTGACTGAATTTGCTAAGGAAACTACTAGTGTCAGCCAACACAAACACACATGAAAAAGTGAAGAAAGAATACTGGCATCCATGTCCTAAATATCTCCTAAAAGCACTGGATCTCACCTGATTTTAAAAGCTAAGCAGGATCAGCTTTGGTTAATACTTGGAGGAGAGATCGCCAACAAATACCAGGTGTTGTAGCCTATATTTCAGAGGAAGGAAGTACTAAAACCATCTTTGAGTATTCCTTGTCTGAAAAAGTCCTATGAGATTACCATAAGTCAACAGACAACTTGGAGGCATGTTGTTGTTCATTCATTCAGTTGTTTCCGACTCTTTGTGACCTCATGGACCAGCCCACGCCAGAGCTCCCTGTCGGCCGTCACCAACCCCAGCTCCTTCAAGGTCAATCCAGTCACTTCAAGGATGCCATCCATCCATCTTGCCCTTGGTCAGCCCCTCTTCCTTGGAGGCATAAAGACATACAAACATCTTGTGACGATATTGGGAAGAACACTGAGATAAGATTTGTGAAGGACTCAGTTTGTACTATATAGATATTATTATTATTATGTCAAAGCCATGGTATTCCCTGTAGTCACCTACGGATGTGAGAGCTGGACCTTAGGGAAGGCCGAGCGAAGGAAGATCGATGCTTTTGAGCTGTGGTGTTGGAGGAAAGTGCTGAGAGTGCCTTGGACTGCGAGAAGATCCAACCAGTCCATCCTCCAGGAAATAAAGCCCGACTGCTCACTGGAGGGAAAGATACTAGAGACAAAGTTGAAGTACTTTGGCCACATCATGAGGAGACAGGAAAGCCTAGAGAAGACAATTATGCTGGGGAAAGTGGAAGGCAAAAGGAAGAGGGGCCGACCAAGGGCAAGATGGATGGATGGCATCCTTGAAGTGACTGGACTGACCTTGAGGGAGCTGGGGGTGGTAACGGCCGACAGGGAGCTCTGGCGTGGGCTGGTCCATGAGGTCACGAAGAGTCGGAGACGACTGAACGAGTGAACAACAACATTATTATTATCATCATTATTATCATTATTATTATTATTATTATTATTATTAGCTAGTTGTAATAGGAGTAGCAGAACAAAAAGATGAGCACAAGTTGAAAATAAATATAGCACAAATATAGTACTTGTGGCCCCCAGTGGCACAGCGGGTTAAACCACTGAGCTGCTGAACTTGCTGGCCAAAAGGTCAGCAGTTTGAATCTGGGAAGCGAGGTGAGTTCCTGCTGTTAGCCCAGCTTCTGCCAACCTAGCAGTTCGAAAACATGCAGATGTGAGTAGATCAATAGGTACCACTTTGGCAGGAAGGTAATAGTGCTCCATGCAGTCATGCTGACCACATCACCTTGGAGATGTCTACGGACAACGGCGGCTCTTTGGCTTAGAAATGGAGATGATGAGCACCACCCCCAAAGTTGGACACTACTAGACGTAATGTCAAGGGGAAACCTTTAACTTTACTATAGTGCTTCAATATTAGACCATATAGAACATCAAAGCAATCTTGTCTCGACATACTCAGAGCAACTCCAATGTGTTATACCTCATACACTCTTCACTTGTAAGTCTCCTACTGAATACACATTCCAGCTATGGGTCTTTTCCACGGCATGACCATCAACTGCACATCTGCTACACAATTTCACTGCTTTGTACAACCAGAAACTCTGCAAAGGCAAATTTAACAGAAGGGATCCAAAGGCACATGACAAGGCAACACAACTTTCTCTTTTCTTCTATCAACACACATACAATAACAAACAAGGAGAGATAGTCAATCTGAATGAAACAGTTCCGTGCAACAAAAGGAAAAGCCTTAAGAGGACTCCTCTTGCACCCCCCCCCCCCCAAAACCAGGAAATTCTGGATGGAAACTGAATCAAACAGAAACGATTGGCTGTCTTTTCTCTCTCCTCCCATATCTCTAAAAACACTATCTCTATGCTTCCCATACTCAGGCTCCTAACTACAAAGCCTGTAGAAGCTTTAATGATGACGGTGGGACTTGGCTCTAGGTTTATAATCTGTTTTATGGTATTTATATGTTTTAACTTTTATAATTTGAGATGTTATATTTATTATTTGTAAGTCTAATGCGGCACTGAATTTATGTCATAATCTGTAAGCCGCTCGGAGTCCCCTTTCGGGGTGAGGAGAGTGGGGTATGAATATAGTAAGCAAATAAATAAATAAGTAAATAAATCTATACAAATAAAAATGCTATGTTAGTTTGTGGGATTAACATAACTCAAAAACCACTGGATGAATTGATACCAAATTTGGACACATAACACCTATCAGGCCAACAAGTGACCATCACTAATAAAAACACTGAAAAACACACCGACAAAAACAACTCCAACCCCAGAAGGCTTTTAGGAATTGTGAGAGTTGGAATCCAAAACCCCTGGAAGACCCAAGTCTGGTCTGGTCTACACCGTGGAATTATTCCACAGCATTGAGCCATGGTAGTTAAAGGGGCCCCATAGGCCATCCAGCCCAACCACTTTTTGCAGCAAAGGAAGATACCATCAAAGCCCTCCTGACAGATGGCCATGCAGTTTGAAAGGAGCCCCAAAGGCCATCCAGTCCAACCTCATTGGGTGGTAAAGGAAGACACAATCAAAGCCTACTCAACAGATGGCCAACCAGTTGGAAGGGAGCCCCAAAGGCCATCCAGTCCAGCCCCCTTTGGCCCCTTAAAGATGTGTGTGTGTCCTCTGACCACCCATCCATCTACCTACCTACCTACCTATGTTCTATCCATCTATCTTCTGTTCTAACTATCAATGTCCCTTCCATGTCTCTTCTGTCTATTGTTTCATGCCTGAAATTCCTCTGTTTTCTGAGGGTCACAGCAACACGTGGCAGGGGACAGCTAGTAAATAATATATGTGGCTGCCGGAGGCTGAAGTTAAAGCAGGGAGAAGCCAAACCAGAGTGAGATCATAAGATGATGATGCCAACAACCCCAATCCTTGGACATACTCTGGGATCTGAGGGATGGATGGAAAGGATGCTGCAGATCCGGGATCATTTCTGGACTTGCCAGAGCCAGGCCCAGCTCAAAACAAGTCACCCTGTCACATATATATAGATATAAGTATGCATGCATATGTATGTGTGTATGTGTGTGTATATATATCAACACACACACACACACACATATATATATCTATATAGATAGATAGATCACAACACATACATACTTGGGAAGATTGCTTAGCATGAAATAACAGTCTCCCTTTCCCATAACTGCAAGACTGGACCCTGATACTCTGGAATTCATCCTCCTGGAAGAAGGCAGGGCCTGACTCCCTCCYGCCCACCCAACCAATGGGGTCCTTTCACACCACCGAGATATATAATACTACCATCCCACTTTAAGAGTATCCTGGGGCTGGACAATTCAGGGAACGGTATGGAAGAACCGTAATGGAATCCTGGGATGTGTAGTATGTAGCATGCTCCAAGACCTTGTGAAACTGCAATTCCCAGGATTACAAAAGCATTGAGCCAAGACAGTTCAATACAGGGGAGATGCTATGCAGGGTTAGCACAGCTTGGCACCACTTAGGACGGTCACCACTCAACCTTAATGGAATCCTGGGATTTGTAGTTTGTAGCATGCTCCAAGACCTTGTGAAACTGCAACTCCCAGGATCATAAAGGACTGAACCAAGGCAGTTCAATACAAGGGAGATGCTATGCAAATTTTGCACAGCTTGCCACCACTTGAAACCGCCACGGCTCAACCTTAATGGAATCCTGGGATTTGTAGTTTACAGAATGCTCCAAGACCTTGTGAAACTGCAACTCCCAGGATTACAAAAGCATTGAGCCAAGGCAGTTCAATACACGGGAGAGACTATGCGGAGTTAGCACAGCTTGGCACCACTTTAAACCACCACGGCTCAACCTTAATGGGATCCTGGAATTTGTAGTTTGTAGAGCATGTGAAACTGCAACTCCCAGTATTACAAAAGCATTGAGCCAAGGCAGTTCAATACACAGGAGAGACTATGCAGGTTTAGCACAGCTTGGCACCACTTTAAATTGCCACTGGTCAACCTTTATTGAATCCTGGAATTTGTAGTTTGGTGAGGCACCAGAACGCTCCAAGACCTTGTGGAACTGCAACTCCCAGGATCACAAACCATTGAGCCAAGGCAGTTCAATACAGGCGAGAGGCGATGCAGGTTTAGCACAGCTTGGCACCACTTTAAACTGCCACCACTCAACCTGAATGGAATCCTGGGATTTGTAGTTTGCAGAGCATGTGCAACTGCAACTCCCAGGATCACAAAGCATTGAGCCAAGGCAGTTCAATACAGGGAGGCCATGCAGGTTCAGCACAGGTTGTCACCACTTTAAACTGCCACAACTCAACCTGAATGGAATCCTGGGATTTGTAGTTTGCAGAGCATGTGAAACTGCAACTCCCAGGATTACAAAGCATGGAGCCAAGCTGCATGCACTGTACAAGGGAGATGCCCCAAAAGCTCAGCAAAGGAAGCAGCCAATGGAAGAGGAACCAGGGTGTGGAAAGGCCCTGAGGATGCAAAAGTGAGGGCTGCATCCTCGCCTCGCCTCCTCTCCATCCTTGCCTGGACTGACCATTGCCTCACTGCCGCAGTCTGCCTTCCCTTCGGAGGGAGGAAGCCCTCCTCGTCTCCAGCAAGCATGAGCTCAGAAGGTGACATTGCGGCAGCAGGGCTTCCTTGGCAATCTCCTTGGCGCGTCCCTTCCTCTTTCTCACCCCCTTCCTCACTCACCTGGTAGCGGAGGAGGCAGTTGGGCTCGTTGCTGTCGGCAGGCATGGTTTGCTCAGGCAGGTGCCTTCCTTCCCGCCGCTCTCCCTTGGCTGTGCCTGCCTAGAGGAGCCCCACGCCAGAAGCGCCTCCGCAGCCGCCACCCGCCGGCCTCAGCACCACCATCTCGCCTCTGGTCTCCCTCTCTCTCTTTTTTCCCTCCCTTTCTCTCTCCCCCACCGGCTGTGCCAGCCAATCCTGGGCCAGATATTTTAGCCACAAGGGAAACCAAAATGGGAAAAAGGGGGTGGGTTCAGTGGAAGGAGAAAGGTGGGAAAGGAAGGGAGGGAAGCACAGAGGAAAAAGGAAGGAAGGAAGGGAACCTGCTGGCAAATGGGAGGATGGGTGGGGACCCTGGCTGGATCTACACTGCCCTATCATCCACAATATTTGCTTTGAACTGGGATTATATGACTCTATGGCAAAGATTTCCTCCTGACATTAGTTCTAGTAGTGTCCTACTCTGGGGGTGGTGTTGTCCCTAGACACCTCCAAGGTCACGTGGCCAGCATGGCTTCATAAAGCGCCCTTACCTTCCCGCAGAAGCTGGAGCTATTCCTCTACTCACATTTTATCTGACTCTGAAGGTTGGTGCTCATCTCCATGTCTAAGCCAAAGAGCCAGTGTTGTCCGTAGAGACCTCCAAGGTCACGTGGCCAGCATGTCTGCATAAAGCGCCCTTACCTTCCCGCAGAAGCTGGAGCTATTTCTCTACTCACATTTTATCTGACTCTGAAGGTTGGTGCTCATCTCCATTTCTAAGCCAAAGGGCCAGCGTTGTCCATAGATATCTCCAAGGTCATGTGGCCAGCATGGCCGCATAGAGCACCATTACCTTCCCGCAGAAGCTGTAGCTATATTGATCTACTCATATTTTTCTGACTCTGGGGGTTGGTCTCATCTCCATGTCTAAGCCGAAGAGCCGGTGTTGTCCGTAGACACCTCCAAGGTCACGTGGCCAGCATGGCTGCACAGAGCGCCCGTACCTTCCCGCAGAAGCTGGAGCTATTCCTCTACTCACATTTTATCTGACTCTGGGGGTGGTGCTCATCTCCATTTCTAAGCCAAGGAGCCGGCGTTGTCCATAGACACCTCCAAGGTCATGTGGCCAGCATGGCTGCATAGAGCGCCATTACCTTCCCACAGAAGCTGGAGGAGTGCCCTTACCTTCCCGCAGAAGCTGGAGCTATTCATCTACTCACATTTTATCTGACTCTGGGGATTGGTGCTCATTTCCATTTCTAAGCCAAAGAGCCAGTGTTGTCCATAGACACCTCCAAGGTCATGTGGACAGCATGGCTGCACAGAGCGCCCTTACCTTCCCGCAGAAGCTGTAGCTATATTGATCTACTCACATTTTATCTGACTCTGGGGGTTGCCGCTCATCTCCATTTCTAAGCCAAAGAGCCGGCGTTGTCCGTAGACGCCTCCAAGGTCATGTGGCCAGCATGGCTGCATGGAGTGTCGTTACCTTCTCACCAAAGCGGCACCTATTGATCTACTCACCTTTGCATGTTTTGAAACTACTAGGTTGGCAGAAGCTGGGGCTAACCATTGGAGCTCACCTCACTCCCCGGATTTGAACCGCTGACCTTTCAGTCAGCAAGTTCAGCAGCTCAGTGGTTTAACCCACTGCAACACCAGGAGGCCCTGTATGACTCTACACTGCCCTATAACCCAGTTCAAAGCAGATAATCTGGTTTTTATATAGCAGTGTAGACTCATATAATCCTGTTAAAAGCAGGTAATGTGGATTATCTGCTTTGATAATCTGGATCATGTGGCAATATAGATCCAACTGCAGGAGAGGTTGTTTTAAAAGGGAATTTTCAGGGATGTTAATCAGTGGCCCTTCACAACCATCGCCACAGCCTTTCTCTGAGGCTGAGAAAGTGTGACTTGTCCAAGGGCTTTCTATGGCCTACAGCAGAACTTTTAAAACTTTTTCCACTCATGGCTCCTTTCCATCGAAGAAATGTTTGCATGACCCCAAGGTATATAGGTATAGAAAATAGGTATAAATATTAAAATTTACTGATAACAATGCCGCATTTGTAAGGCTTGCCAAACAGGCTGATTTTTGGTAGGTTGCTGTGAGTTTTCGGAGCTGTATGGCCATGTTCCAAAAGCATCTTGCTTAACGTTTTGCTCACATCTGTGGCAGACATCCTCAGAGGTTGAGGGGTCTGTGGAAACTAGGCAAGTGGGGTTTATATATCTGTGGATCTCTCTTGTCCTTCGCTGAACGTAGCATTTGTTGGATTTTCTTAGTGGGTCTGTAGATAATTTGCATGTTGTGTTTCCTCATCAGCTTTCCTATGTGGTCAGTGGCTCCCTTGATGTATGGCAAGAACACGTTTCCTCTGGATGGATCTTTGTCTTTAGTCTCGTGGCTTGTTCTATGTCTTGCAGCTCTTCTGATGTTTGTGGTGGAGTCTCCATTGGCCTCTAGACCCACGTTGAGGTGGTTCAAGTCCATTCAATGCTAATCAAGGTGGCCAATTGCAACATTCACACTTGCCTCAAGCAGACAAGAGTTTATTTATTTAGAACATTTGTATCCCATCCTATTCTTGACCTCTGAAGAGGGACTCAGGGCGGCTTCCAACAATATAAAAACACCAATAAAATACACAATTGCATAAAATGATAATAAATATACATTTCAAAACAGTTTACCAAATTTAAAACGTCCTCCAAATCAGTCCAAAAAATACGGTCCATACAATCTCATCTAAGCCAATAAAAACCATATATTCTGCGAACGCTTGCTCCCATAGCCAAGTCTTAAGTGTCTTGTGCAAAGTCTGGAGGAAGGGGGCAGATCTAACATCTTTAGGGAGGGAGTTTCATGGCAGAGGCGCCACCACGGAGAAGGCCCTGTCTCTCGTCCCCGTCCCCCCCAAACGCGACTGCAATGGTGGCAGGACTGAGAGCAGGATCTCCCCAGATGATCTTAAAGTCCTTGAGAGTGGGAGTTTTTTCTCCCACTCTGCAAATTATTCCACAGATATATAAACCTCACTTGCCTGGTTTCCAACAGACCCCTCAACCTGTGAGGATGCCTGCCATAGATGTGGGCAAAGCGTCAGGAGAGAATGCTTCTGAAACATGGCCATACAGCCTGGAAAAATTACAACCCAGTTATTCCGACAACAGGCTGATTTTCCTTTTTGTGGAAGACAGCTGAAGCATTTTCTGCAGGGTCTACTATAAACACTGCATGTTGTTGCTAGCAGATTTGTGTAAATGGATGGCATCCAGAAATCTTTTACAGTTACCAGTGCTGGATTTAAGATAAATGAGGCCCTGTGATAGTTCATTTATGAGGCCCCTTACTTACTTGGGCCTTGAAGGAAGTAGGCCCGGTAGGCCTGCACTGCATGCTTTGTGGCAGATTCCCATAGACTATAATTAACTCTATCCTTATGTCTGGAATCACTCCGAAACAAAGTCTTCAAATTTAAAAATGCACCACATAAGTAAAATCCATTGTAAAAAAAAAAAATGGGCAGGGAGACTTAGCAAAACCCCGCCCCTTGTCTCTGGGGGCCCATCTACACTGCCATATAATCTAGTTTTAACTGCATTATAATGGTTATTGCAAATGTATATAATGCATATATGAACCCTATTGTATTGGATTATGTGAGTCTACCATATAATTAAATTCAATGAGGTTAATCTGCATTCTGAAACTAGATTTTATGGCAGTGTCGATAGGGTCTGACACTGAAACGGATGCACCTTTGACTCCACTGGAACTGCAATGGCTCATTGCTGCGGAATCGTGGGAGTTGCAGTTTGCTGTGGCACATCCCTCTTTGTCCAAGACATACGGAATACAGTATAACTTTATAACAAAACATATTTACAACCAGTCTCTTCCTCACTTGTTATCTCTTCCTGTAACTAATACCTTTGTGACAGAGAGGAGAGTACGTTAAATGCACCAATAAAATCAATATACCGTATATACTCAAGTATAAGCCGACCCAAATATAAGTCGAGGCACCTAATTTTACCACAAAAAACTGGGAAAACGTATTGACTCGCGTATAAGCCGAGGTTGGGAAATGCAGCAGCTACTGGTGAATTTCAAAATAAAAATAGATACCAATAAAGTTACATTAATTGAGGCATCACTAGGTTAAATGTTTTTGAATATTTACATAAAACTGTATTTACATGAAACTGTCCAACTTTGATTATTACCATTATTACCATTATTCTAACCTTCTTCAATGTAAATATGCTTATGTATCCTTCTGATAATAGTAAAGAGAGTAGAATAGTAAATGTAATAATAATAATAATAATAATAATAATAATAATAATAATAGAGTAAAATGATGGAAATGTAATAATAATAGTAAAAGAGTAAAATAATAAACATAATAATAAAATAAAGTAAAATAATAAATGTAATAATAATATTAATAAATGGAGTCAAATAATAACTGTAATAGCAATAATAAATAGAGAAAAATAATAAATGTAATAAAATAATAGAGTAAAATAATAATTGTAAATACAGTAAAATAATAAATGTAATAAAAATAGTAACCCAGAAAAATAATAAATAATTTTGACTCACATATAAGCCAAGAGGGGCTTTTTCAGCCTAAAAAAGGGCTGAAAAACTCGGCTTATACTCGAGTAGATACAGTAATTTGCCATAAGGCTGGGTTAGTTATCATGACAGCAAACTGCTGTCTTCACAATCAGCAACACACAGGCGGAGATAATTCCCTTCTAATACATACATCAACTAAAGAATGAAAATGACAATTTCTTGGAGGGGTCCTTGTAATTCCAGATACTAGGTTAAAGCACCCCCGTTTTCTCTTTAAAGGGGGGGGGAGGTCCAATATCTGCATTTGGACTGTATTTTATGAGGGCCATCTAAAATGTCACAAAATAATGCGCCTTGAATCCTATATTGGAAGAAAGATGGGAGTGGGTTCCAACCCAGTTCTGGTGATTCCTATTACATATTTGGCAACATAAAAACAATATCCTAATTTTGAAATACCTTGTTTATGTCCCCCCATCACATCACCCCAATAAAATATTAATTAACAAAAAACCCAACAATATCCTATTTAAGGTTTGGGCTCCTGATTTAGGTTCCCATGCCTTATTTAGGGTTAGGCATTCTGAACTCCATCAACAATGGAATTGAACCAAACTTGGCACACAGGACTCCCATGACCAACAGAAAACACTAGAAGGACTTGGTGGGCATTGACTTTGAGTTTTGGAGTTGTAGTTCGCCTACATCCAGAGAGAACTGTGGACTCAAACAATG